ATATAGGCTACATGTATTACGCTATGTTCTCTGCACCCAGAAGAGTATTGGCTGACTCTTTGTGAACATTTGTGAAATGTGTGGAGGAATGAGTGAGTGAATGAATGAATGAATGGACACAAGCTAGAGTCACTAAAGGGTAACTTACATGCTTACCTTGGAATCTAATTCCCCTATAACAGTGGTCGGCAAACTCATTAGTCAACAGAGCCAAATATCAACAGGACGATTGAAATTTCTTTTGAGAGCCAAATTTTTTAATCTTAAACTATACAGGTAGGTACATTGTTATTAACTTAATTAGGGTACTCCTAAGGCTTAGGAAGAGCCACACTCAAGGGGCCAAAGAGCCGCATGTGGCTCGCGAGCCGCAGTTTGCCGACCACAGCCCTATAAGAGATAACTATATTTCCTTCCTGTCTGTTCTCTCTCTCTCTCTCTCTCTCTCTCTCTCTCTCTCTCTCTCTCTCTCACACACACACACACACACACTCTTTTTTATGTGGCTATGGACAGACTGTATATATTTTGTATCTAACATTTCTCACCTAAAATTATATATAGAGAGATAGATACATAGATGGATAGATAAACATAGAAAATATATTTTCCCATACTAAAACACTACAACGTTATTAAAAGAAAATGTGAAAATAATAACTGAAAATTGAAAAGAAAAAATTGATAGACCCACTCAGATAGAACTGTCACTAACATTTGGTAGCATACCTTTCAACTCATCATTTTCAGAGTATACATTTTAAATGACATTATGATCATACTTTAGATAGAATTTTTCATACTATGTTTTTAACTGACCTGGAATTTCACTACATAAATGATTTCGTGAGATAAGTCAAAATTCCCTAATTGTATTATTTCCGTATTGTGTATATGTGTGTGTGTATATATATGTATACGTATGTTGTTGTCAATCTTTTTTAATGTTGCATTGCAAATGCAGACTTTTTTACAGAAAGCTTCCTCCAAATTTGGGCTTAAGAAAATGACTTTTGCATAGCCCCATTGCTACCCCTTAGCATCTTGCCATAACCCTCTCCATTCCCTCACTCCACTGCTGAGGTGATTTATGGCTCTGGCTTCTTATTTGTTTTAACCCGATCTCTTAAGGGGTGACCTCCCGGTGTCTTCAATTATTATTTTAAATGATGCTTTAGGCTACTGCCTGGCACAGCGGTGCCCTCACCTTCCCACCTTCTGCCTTCCAAGCATGGAGCTCAGCTGCCAAACTGGCTGTGCCCCCTCCTGTCCTCGGAGCTGCCTCCAGAGTCCTAGTGGAGAGGCAGATTAACCCCTTTTGTTAGCAGACGTAATTTGCCCCGGCTCAGCATTAATACGGAATGCCATAAGCAGTCGGGGTCAGGAAGAACAGATCTGTCAAGCCCCAGGGTTAATTTAATAGCAATCTGTTGGCTGTCTGCCTTGTGTATCATCCGTGAAGCCAATGCTCTGTTTTGCTTTTGCCGTTTAGTTCTTTGGGACAACAGGGAAATAATTTGGATAGAGAGCTCTAGACGATGGGGAAGAGAAAATTGACTGTCAAAATGCATCATCCCATGTTCAAGATAATACAGGGAGCTGTGCATTGCTCATGTCCTTTCTCCTCCCGCCCCAACGTGAAGGGCAAAACCACACAGACCGAAGGTGTGTGTCTCCCTTTACAATAGTGTAAGGGTTTCTAGGCGGACAGAGGTGAAAGACACCCTACCGTCACCCCCATGAGCCATTGAATTTTTGGTAACTGGGCTCCTTCTCCCAAATGTCTCTAGAACTGAGCAAATTCTCCCTCATAAACAATTCAGGAAATCCCTTACCGTGTTTCTGTCCCAACTTCTGGCTCAAAAAAAAAAATTATCACATCATAGGACACAAAAATCCTAGATCAGATGCTGTGTCCCAATTGTGGTTCTGAAAAATGTGACCCCCAAAATGGACAGTGAATTAAGAGAGCACAGGCCCTGAGCAGAAGTCAGCTCCCTCCCAGATTAGCCAGGGGGCAGTCCAACAGAGCCAGACTCACCACACTCAGCAGGGCTGGCTCTGGGGGGGCCATTCCTCAGCGATGAGGGGGCATGTGGTCCAGAACCAGGTTCTGGAGTTGGACAAACTTGGGTTCAAATGCAGCTCCGCCCCCTGTTGGTCAGATGGCCTTGAGTAATTTACCTCCAGCACTATTTCCTCTGCTGGAAATGGGCCTCTTAATGGTACTGACCTCCTAAGGCTGAGATGAAGGTTAAATGGGACAGTCCATTTGATCATCTTTAACTGCAGGTTGGTATTCTCTTCCTCCTCGTCCTTATCGTCATGGTTGTTAAAAAGAGTAGAGTCACAGTTCACCCCCTGACCCCATAGAATCAGACCCTAACAAGCACTCTAGTCTTAAGGGAGATGCTTGAGGATGAGGGATGATGGGACGGGGAGCTGGATCCAGACGTGGCCGACTCAGTGGTCACCTCCCAGGAGGGTGCTCTTGATGGCGGTGCGTGTTGCTGGTTTCCCAGATATGTCTCAGCGCTTCGTTTTCACACATTCCGACTCGGGCTTTATTTTTAGGTGAGAAAAAATAGCCGTGGATGTGGCACCTCCCCTCCCCTCCCACACAGCAAAGCAAAGATCCCTTCCAGTGCCTCTTGTGTTTAGAGCTACCCTGGAGGAGGTCGAGAAAGCTGACGGCAGGTTTTCTTGTCCTATTTTGGGAAAGGAGAAATCTGCTCACTGCACAGCAGGGTCTGGAGGCTCTTTCTGGAGGGAGATGAAATCTGACAACAGCTGAACACTGACCTCTGCTCACGGCACCCCATGTCGTGGCCACAAGCCCAGGGCATGGGTCAGGGGCTGGTGAGAACATCAGAGCTGCAGCTCAGGGCCTCGTTCTGGGGGGCATGGGCTCTCACTCCCCAGGGTGTGGGGCTGACTGAAATAATAGGTATAACTCTGGCAGCAGTTGAGTGGAAAGGTAGTATTTTATGAATCCAGGGGACCCACACGCTCTGGAGACCCAAGTAATACTTGCACCTGGGTTTGGTGGGGGCAAGTGTAGTAAAATATAATGTTAGTTCAGTATCAAGTTAATTTTAGAAAGAACCCAACAGGATTTATAAGAGGTAATTGAAGGGGAAGTAGCAGAGCCAACGACAAAGCCCTTATTACAACAAATTGGCGTGCTGGGATTGTTGTAGCAGGAGCAGAGGTGATGTTTGATAATAGATGAGCACTTTGTTGGTGTTGGGGTAACTAACAATACCAGTGCATTTACTTGTACCTCATCTAAACTCTAAGAAGGGAGCTATGCTACTAACCAGGAAAAACAGAGGACTTTCATCCATGCCAGTCCCATAGGATAGTCTGTATCAAGTTATCGCTTGTCAATTCAGTAGTGTTTTCCAAAACCAGATACATAAACTCGCACACATCAACAGTTTGAGTTTAATTGTTATGCATTTATTTTCATGTGTATTACTAAAAATGTAACTAGCTTGCCCGGCTGGGTTGGAGCGTTGTCCTGTACACCAAAAGGTTGAAGGTTTGGTCCTGGTTGGGGCACGTACAGGAGGCAACTGATCAATGTTTTCTCTCACCCCTCTCTCTCTCACACACCTCTCTCTCTCCCCCCCCCACCCCCCCACCCCCGCACCTCATCGGGTGGGGATGGAAAAAAAGAAGTAACTAGCTCATTGCACCCATGATTTTATGAATATGGATTACTGCTTAGACAAGGCTAAGTAAAGAAAAGTGAGTCGGTGTAAGTTGATCTGAAGAAAAAGTGTGATGTAAAAATACAACCTGCGGATAGAGAGGTGGGCCAAAGTCACAAAGGTGGCTCAAAGGTTGTCAAGTCTAGGAAAAGTGGGAATCACTTTTGGTCAGCTTTCCCGTACCACAGCATCCACATCACGAGGCCGGCTCCTTCGCAGGAAGCTGCTGGTCCCCAGCCAGGCGCCTCCCAGCTTGCACCCAGGTCCCCTCTTGAGCTCTCAGTTGGGATATGAAGGGATCCGCCTAAACCCACACCTCATGCATGCCAGACACCCTACTGAAGGTGTTTCTGTTAGTCACCTTCATTAGTGAAAGCCAAGTGTTTCATTGAAGTATACAAGGATGTGGTCATGAATAGATGTATACTAATTCTTGACCAGAAAGTAAAAACCTGAGAAAAATAAAAAACAAATGATAAACTAAGGGTATACATTCCATAGGAGGCTAAAACTATCTCGCCATACCACTGGATGGCTTCTTTCTGATGTTTAAACTCCCACAAGCTCTAAAGCAAATCACAGCTTATGGAGACTTGAGCCCCTGTATATCTTCAATAAGAGAAATTTTGTATAATTACTAAAGAACACAAATGTTGCGCCTGGGGTAAAATCCTAGAACTGTCACTCTTTAGCAAGTTATTTTACATGCTCTGAGTTTCCGTTTCCACCCCCTGGAAAATGGGGATAAGAAAACTGATGAGATAAAGTACCTGATGTGCTTTGCACAGTGATCAATAAATGGTAGCAGCTATTATTATTATTATTATCATCATCATATTAAAGAAGATCTCAGAGATTTCATAGAAGATGATTTACAGTCTATTGTAGGTTTTACTTATAGCACAGGAGTCTGGGTAAAGATTCCAATAAAATGAGTTATTTAGTTGGAATGGGACGAGTTTTGTAACCACCGTTGTAAAAGGAGAAATGGAAGTCTGTGCAGCTTGGTACGTTTTTGCAGTTGCATGAGCAGGTAACTTTGGTGGGCACTCTACATGTTAGGAGAATGAAATACTGAAACGGGCCAGGGAGACCCGAGTTCCCACGCTGCCTCCGACCACTGGGTGACCCTGAGCTCATCGGCCTGGGACCAGTAATACCTGCCTGTTTGCTCACAGCGTTTTGGTGAGGACCCATCCTGTGTGGTGCAAGCTAACCTGTTCCCCGCCACCCCCTGCTCCCCACTCGCACCTCTCCCGTCCGCTCCTTGACTCTCGGTGCCAGACATCGTGGACATTAAGCCGGCCAACATGGAGGAGCTCACGGAGGTGATCACGGCGGCCGAGTTCCACCCCCATCACTGCAACACCTTCGTGTACAGCAGCAGCAAAGGGACAATCCGGCTGTGCGACATGCGGGCGTCGGCCCTGTGTGACAGGCACACCAAATGTGAGTAGCTGTCAGCCAGCGCAGAGCTGAGGGGCGGGGCACTGGCCCTGACACGCGGGGGGCGGGGAGGGCTGATCTCCTTCCTACATGAGACTCGCTGGGAGCAAAGAAAGTACCAGTGTCCGCCTGCCTCGGTGTCAGCTCCACGGTGGATATTTCAATAAAGATGAAACCTCACGTTCAATCCCACAAACATCGCTGCAGGCTGTGGTCTGCGGAGATGAATAAGGCATGAGCCCTGTCACATAACGTTGTGACATGATCTGAATTATGTTTTAAGATCAGTCTTGCTGCTGTGGGCAGAGGAACCTGAAGGGCGGGAAGGGGAGAGCGCTGGGGGTTGTTGCCACGTCCAGGCAGGAGTTGAGCATTGCCCGGGCCAGGGCGGCGGCGGGGAAGTGGAGAGGGGCAGGTGGGCTCTGGGTAGACCTCGGCAGGAGCTACCAGGACCTGCTGGCCTGTGCAGGAGGCTGAGATTATACAAGGTATCAAGAATGGCATCTGGGGATGGTGACTAAGTAGCCACACCGTATCGTATATTTGAAAGTTGCTAAGAGAGAATATCTTAAAAGTTTTCATCACAAAAAAAAAAAATGGGTAACTGTGTGGTGATGGATGTTAACTAGACTTATTGTGTTTATTTTGCATTATAGACATATATCAAATCCTGAAACTAGTATAATGTTATATGTCAAATATATCTCAATATTTTTTTTTTAAAGAATAGTGGCTGGAGGGAGGGGTTCGTGGCTTCTTAGAGAGATTGCGGCTTTGGGAACCAGCATTCTAGAGGTACCAAGGTTCTAGTGGGCACCGGAAGAAGGTTTCAGAGAAGGGGGAGGGGAAAGGGCAGCCAGAGTCACGGGCCCTCTGGTCACGCTGGAGTTTGCAGGGCGTGGACAGAGCACAGCAGCTCCAATCCAGTGGGGGCTGAGGCTCAGACCGATGTGAGCAGGTAAAGCAAATGTCAGCTGGCACTCAAGGCCAGCACCGTGGTCGACAGGCTGGCCTGGAGCCAGCAGGAAGGCTTTCTAGAAAACTCTCCAGAGTAAAGGTGCCTGGGAGGCAGTGGTCGGTCCCCCATGTATAGTGGTTTATAAGTTGTGTGGCTTCTACACTCCCACAGACCCAGGTCAAAGCCAGGCTTCACCCTGGTTAGTTGTCTGCTTTGTCCAACTTTCCCTAACCTTTCTGAACCTTGGTTTTCTCATCTGTAAATGGGTAGAATAATAACATCCACCTCATGGGCTTGTCATGGGGCTTCGATGAGATAATAATTAAAAATCGTTAATGGGATGTTTTATTTTTTTCATACTAAGTCTTTAAAGACATTTTCAATTCAGATTATCTACTAAGTGTTCAATAGGCACAGGAGGCTTATAGCTACCATATTGGATAGTGCAGATTTAAGATGTTTAAGAGATTTTCATCGTTGCAGAAAGTTCTATTGGATATTGTGGATCTATTCTAGACCATCAGCTTTTTGAGGGCATGGACTTAACTCTGTTTTGCTCACAGCTGTGTCCCCAACTACAGCACTCCCAAGGTCAAGCACAAGCCTTGCTGCCATGGAGGAAGAACACCCAGAAGCTGTCCAACCTCTCTGAGGTGCTCTGGGTGGCCTGGCCTGACAGCAAAGACAGCATGTGCCTGGCAGGGGCCAGAGACCCTGGGGGAGGTATTGCCCACAACCGGTTTTATTTGCAGACTTATTTTCCCATCTTAAAATTTCACTTGAATTCTGTATTTTATTCCCATAAAATGCCTACTTTCCGTTTAATGTAATAATTACATTTCTACCCATCCCAAATTTCAAGCAAAATTTATTCTCCCCCAAATTGCAGCATTTATCCCATGGCCTCCTGTACCACTTAATGTACCCCATATCCTCCTTCTCCCTGACCTTCAAGGATACATCCATGTGCCCCAGTTCCTAGTATGTGGAGAGCAATTTGAGATCATTTGGCTGGAGAACAGAGTTATAGAATTCCTATTTTATGGAAGATTAACGCGGCAGTGGTGGGAAGAAACATAGAAGAATTAGAAAGTAATAAATGGAAATTTATAATGTAGATAAGGATGGTAGCTATGGAAATTGAAAGGAAGGAAAAGGAAAATAGAGCCTTTTCTTATAAGGTAACTATGGGTGGTGTGATATTAGAGATTGGCAATCACCAGCCATGGATGTTAGGTCATGTTCAGTGTTCGTCCCTCTATACTATAAACTCTCGGAAGAACTGAATCTGTTTTGCTCACGTCGTATTACCAGCGCCTGACACTAGTAGGTGCTCAGTAAATATGTATTCAATAAATAAATGTATGCCTGAGGGTTGACATAAATGGGCACGTGGAATGGGGACTAATCAGAAGCCATATAGAGGAGAGTGAAGGGCCGGGGTTCAATTGGGAACATGCTGTGTGTGAGGTGACGAGCTGACGAGGGAGGTAGGGCTCTCTGGTGAGCAAAAGTAGAACCAGGCTCGAAGGGTCACCAACATGGATGCCAGAGATGGCGCGAGAAGCGCCAGTGCTCACAGCCAGTGCGGCAGACGCCAGCCTGGGCTCTGGGATCAGACAGACCCACACGAGTGCTGGATATTGAGAAATAAGCTGAATGGGAGGCTTGATGGACCCTCCACTCAAGATGGAAAAAGAACAAGGCCTTAGGAATTCCCAGAACTGGGATGGTTTAAAGTAGAAGCTTTGGAATCAGAGCTCAGCTCAGTGCTGTGTGGCCTCAGGATTACTTAATCCTGGTGAGCCCCAAGTTCCTCATTTGAAAGTAGAAATAAAAAACGTAGCCTCACAGGGCCGGCTGTCCACGAAAAAGGAAATGTCATCCTAGGGCGAGCGCCTAGCACCTGCTGGGACCCAGGAGTCAATGAATGGCAGCTGCAGTTATCACAGTTATTCCTCCCCAAGCCCCTCTGTGCTAGGCCTGCAGCTATACGGTGCTTGAAACTCTAGCCTTTTTACCAGATATACGAAGCTCAGTTGTTCATTTACTTAATTAGTATTTGTTGAGCACATACTACATGTCAGGTGCTATACCGGACTCTGGGGATGCAATGTGAGCAAAACCAGGCCTGGTTTCCTCCCTCCTGGAGCTCACAGTCTGTGTTAGTGAGGGTTCTCCAGAGAAACAGAACCCATAGGAGATATATATCTCATATACATAAACGTGTGTGTGCGTATGAGAGAGATGTAGTATAAGGATTCGGTGCTAAGTCCCAACATTTGCAGTGGGACTGCAGGAGACCCAGGAAAGCTAGTGCCTCAGGAAAGCAACAGGCTCATTACCCAGGAAGAGCCAATGTTTTCATTCAAATGCAGAGGCTCAAAGATATTCCCTCTTATTTGGGGAGGTCCAGCCTTTTTGTTCTATTTGGGCCTTCAACTGATTGGAGGAGGCCCACCCCCATTAGGGAGGGCAATCTGCTCTACTCAGTCTCTCAATTTAAATGTTAAATTCATCCAAAAATGCCCTCACTGTAGCACCCAGAATAAGGTTTGACCAAATATCTGGGCATGTCATGGCCTAATCAGGTTGCTGCATAAAATTAACCATCACAGTGTCTAAGGAGGAAAGACTCATTACTTACAAGTGCAATAATTGGTATGAAAGAGGGGCATACGGTGCTGTGAGGGGATATGGCAAGGACTTTCTAACCCCAGGCGGTGACCACTGACTGTGACCTAAAGACTGAGGACAGGAAAGGGTGATGGTGCCCACAGAAGCAGATCTGCCAAGCTGCACACCCAGGGACCCCCAGCGGCTGCTCCTGCTTCCAGCCTGGGCCCCATCCAACCCTAAGCCCTGAGGACAGCCCCTAGTGAGACCCCGGAGCTCAGTAACAGCCTGCAGGCCTCTGCCTCAGCCCTGCCTCCCCACAGCCCATCCCTACCCGGGCAGTGCTCTGAATCGCCAGCCGCCAGCCTCCTAATCTAATTAAGAAGTGAATGAAATTCATTTTCCTGACTCGTCCAAAGTGGCGACCTTCTTCGGTGCACCTCTCCCTTTGTTCGGCTGCCTCCGCGGTGGCCCCAGGCTCCTGCCAGCTGGGAAAACAAGTTCAATCTGACCCCTCGCCTGACATTTCATATTGATTTTCTCCATCCTCCTCAAACGCCAGCCTCCAGCCGACCACGGTGCAGCCGAGGTGTGCGATCGGAATTGAGACAGTTCATCAGGGTTCAAAATGAAAAGCAACATTGGCTCTCGGAGATGAGCTCTGAGAAGGAGGGTGTTTAATAACCGCCGGCGTTTAATCAAAATGCCAAGGAGATCCGTGTTATCAGCGCCGCATATATTAATTCCCATATGTCCCTCACTCTGCGTACGCAGCAGGGGGTAGAAGGCACGCCTCGCTCCCTCATGTCTCTATTTTTCCCCCTACGGCTTCTGGCAGTGGTGACGGGTGGGTTTGCAGTTTGAGATTCTTCCGCCTAAAACAATAGGGTGCTGATGGCAGCGGCAACTGGCTGGTCGGAATCGTGCTTTTCCCTTTCAATGCATGAGTATTGGGAGTTGAGTGAAGACACTGGCCGGGTGTGATGAATGGCAACCGAGGAAATGAAAGAGAAATTTCTATCTGAATGCCTTTCCAAGGCCCTGTTTGAATCTGATCCCTACCCCTCTCGAAACTCAGCTCCATGTAGTCTGGCCACACAGGCCTGCTTCCTGCACCACCCCTGCCCTTTCCTGCCCCAGGGCATTTGCACAGGCTTTTGCTCTGCCTGGAATGCTCTCCCACCGTGGGCCCCACTTGTCTGGACTGTTCTCACTGTCTGGGTCTCTGGGAAAATGTCACCTCCTCAGCGAGGACTTCTCTGTTCACCCCATCTGCACCCTATTTCCATCTTAACACCAAATTTTACTTCTTTATTTTTTTCGCAGCACTCACCTATAGATGCTTGCTTTTCTTCCTTTGTCTCCCCTACTAGAATGTCCTCTCCATGAGGGCAGGGACCTTACTTATCTTACCAACCACTGAATTACC